GCCCTTAATAATCAAACTGTTGTTTCCTGGAGGTTTTAAAAGTACAATGAGAAGCAGATCTTTCAGATTTCAGGCTCTTCTCACGTGGAACCAACTTCCACTTTTGGTCCAAGAGGCAGACACCCTGTCTGTCTTCAGGAATGGCCTTAAAACTTTTCGTTGAAATAAATCTAGCGTGGCTTAGGTTATCGTGATCTATCTCTGTGGATATGCTGCCATACGCTTAATGAACAGGGCAAAAGGGTGATGAGTTCGCCTACCACTGGCACTGACAGTGACGTAACTCTGCCTTCCCCACATGCTCTCTCAAAGCAGCTTTGGCTGTACTGGCATTCCTTCTATGATGGATTGTATAAATAATGTTTAGCTGCCATAAACTCAACAGCTCTCCTGTTTTAAAAAGGCATCCAGCATATTAGGTATGATGCCTTTTTTAAACTACATTTTCCACTGGCTGTGTAATGTAATGCTCAATCATTGATCACAATCAACGCACAAAAAACACTACAACTAAAAATAGATTGCCAAAAAAATAGAATGCATTGGATATGTGTCAACTTTGTCTTAGTTCCTTCACATAAACTACAGCAGTTTGCACTAAGCTCTCCTTTTACTCCTTTGTTTTGCATTCAGGGACCATAAACTTTCACTTAGAGGGAAAACACTGAAATTCCCCTTGTAAGGGGTGGGAGTCATCATCACTTAAAATGGAGCTGGTCATCCTGTCAGGTATAAAGAGACTCTGGGTTAAGCTGAGATTTACCAATCGGCTTAACTGGCCATTTGCAATAGTTCTGTGCCTCAAAGATAGGTTTCCATTCCAATACAGTAAGAAAAGCATAAAACCGATTTAGTAAAATATCTATAAATCAATCATAAGGGCTTGATCTTGCTTTAGACTGTTGATCTAGGTTATTTTGTAACCTTGTAAGTTATCAACGCTTTACAGGAATCTTCAATGTTTTATATGTGCATATAGTCTCTGCTAGAGTCTCAAAGCCTTTTTTGTGTTTTCTTTTGGAATTCTCCAGCCTACCTCATCTTGTCAGTCAGCTACTATTTAAAATAGTAGCTGTCTGGCTGTAATAAGTTCTCGTTGAGTTTGTGTGTCAAAAGTAGCAGTAAAAATCAGAACAAACAAAAATAGCTTTTTTTTCTACTGAAATAAGATAAAATTTGAATTAAATTTATCAAGATGCACCTGCATGGGCGATTCCATTCAGGGGGTTACAAGGGGCAGTACCGCTGCACTAACTGCAAAGCAGTCAAGTCTTCTTTTTTTTTTTTTTATGAAGCGTACTTTCCCCCTGATTTGAGCATGTAGGTAAGGCAATCTGTCAATGGAATAAGATGGTTAATCATTAAAATAGGAAAAAACAACTTCATTATCTTATTTTATGTGCATCATGTCTAATTATCTTATCATAAGGGCAAAAATACCCATTCCTTTGTCAGGTTATCTTATTTATCTGCTCAAATTAATGGCAAATGCACTTATTTCACAAAATTTTTACTTATTTAGATAGATTTTTGCAGTGTAATACTAAATAAATACTTTATAATGACAAAAGAGACTATAGCTGATCCCTCCCTTCGACCAAATTAATATTTCACATTTAGAATTCACATAAACAATTCGAAATTTCAGTCAGCTTTAAGCTCCAGTTGTATTAAGAGCACAGTTTTCCTCTGTGAGATCAGGGCATGGGTGTTTTCCGACCAAATTTACTATGGGGGCCAGAGTGGGGCTACCATGTTTTAATGGGGGAACAGAAATATATAAAAAAAAAAAAGATAAATAGTTTATCATTTAAATTATATAAAGATACATTAAAAGAGCCGTAGAACCAGGTGTGTCTGCACTGAATGAAGGGCCATTTCCATGCCTTTATTTAAATGTTATGATGTTCAATTTGAAAATGTCAATTTTATTTACCTAAAATCAAAAATCTCCCTTACCATAGGAAAACAAACAAATGAAATAATTAGTTGCTAAAATATATCTACTAAAAATAAAATAAAGCTATTCTTTGGAATATTAGGTCATAATTTAGGAATATTAGAGATTTTTGAGTTACTTTAAATATAAATGATCATTTTTGATTAAATCAGAATTAGAACTTAGATGAAACTGATTAATTCATTAATGCAGAGGATGGGGAGAGCCCACTTGCCCCCACCCATCCTCACCACCTTCTACAGAAGCACCATGGAGAGCGTTCTGACCAGCTGTGTCACTGTGTGGTGTGGAGGCTGCAGCTCCTCAGACTGGATAAAAGTGAGAATAGTGGTGAGAACAGCAGAGAAGATAATCTGGGCTCCTCTTTCCTCCATAAAAGCTATTTCATCCCAGCGCTGAGCGTCCTGAGCCCCCTGACATCATCAACGACTCCTCACACCCCCACCATGGACTGTTCTTCCTGCTGCCCTCTGAGAAGAGGCTTCGCAGCATTCGATGCAGGTCCAACAGATTCCAAAACAGCTTCTCCCCCACCGCCATCAGACTTCTGAACTATTGAGAAAACTTTAAGCCGTGTCTCAGACTCTGCATCACACTGACAACACCAAACCAAAACACTACATAACTGCACCATAAATATTTAATACTCTTAACTTCCACATCAGTTTTTTTTTGCACCATGTTTTTTTCACCCACACTGTTTACATTTGACCACTGCTGCACTTTAGGAAATGGAAATGTCATGAAAGCTGTAAAAATTGAAATTTTGCATACGCTCTGTGTATACAAAGTCTAAGAAAAACAATGAGACGGGACTAGGGAACTGTCACCATGGCTGTTCATATACGTCAGTGCATAATATTATTCTTTATTTTTGTTGTGTCTTCAGTAAAGGGGTCATAACAGGAGCCAGGGGCAGTTCTACTGGGGTTGATGGCCTATGTGGCCCCTGTCTAATGCCAGCCATTTATCAGGGATCTGCAACCTTGGCTTTGTGGCTCACTTAATATCATTAATGATGCCTTTAAGAAGACATTTAAACCAGACCCACTGGTTGACATCTGGGGAGGGACAGGGGATCTTCTTTTGGCTAATACATTTGAGGCTCAAGCTGTCTCTTTTGGGATGGCTCTGGCAAAGAAGATGATCCTGCAGATGTTGAAAAGTGACTTTGCACCAATCTAGGAAATGTGACTGAGGGAAATGGGGAACGTGTTGAGTCTGTAGAAGATCAGGTATCACAACATGGACAAAATGAAATACTATCACAAGATCTGGGATCCTCTTCTCTCCTACATAAGAGGAAAAGACTGACTCCTGCATTGCAAAACCTGAATGCCTCCCATGCACTGTAATGTCACACTATATCAATGATAAATGTTTGTCAATTTTTGCTCTGTTCTGTGTGCAACAAAAAATAAATAAAAGCACAGTGGAATCAGCTTATAGTGATCACAGATATAGTAATCAACTGCTTATAGTGATCAAAAGGCTTGGGACAGAATTTCTATATAAATGCTCTTTAAATAATCAGTTTCTAGTAACCAAGAAATCCACTTATAGTGTTAATTTTTTGCCATTTTATGAATGTAAACATGTGCAAAAATAATTAATAAGTGCAGCACTCCGGTGTCAGAGCCCGTGAAGGATGAGGACATCATCGCGGAGGTACAAGAGCGCTTTGTTGCAGGTACCAGGGCTGCACGCAGCGAGGAGGAGGAGGAGAATGAAAATGTGGAGACTGTTGTCCCTTCCAGAGGTGAGATGAGGAATGCAGTTTGCATTTTAAAGACTGGTCTCCTGCATGTTGGTTTAAAAAACTTTGACCTTTTACATCATTGATAACCATGGATAAATATGTGAAGTGATTTCTTAATGCGGTTAACAAAAAAAGCACCGGCGGCACCAGGCTACCAGAGTTATGTCTGCACACAACGCAGTATACTGTAATTAAACTTGCATGTTACTGTAATAAAATTCAATAAATACAGAAGCTATCTGTTTCATTTCATTTTTCTCATTGAAAAACCACACAAAGGGCATTTAGATGATATTCTGCATAAAAAATAAGTGAAATAACAGTAAATTCGGATAGTAATCAACCGCTTATACTGTTCAAATTGGCTCTGGACCAACGTGATCACTATAATATATTCCACTGTATTAAAAAATATTATTAATGATGCACTTTTTTCTTGTGCCCATGAACACCGGCCACACCCCTCCCCTTGGTAATTTTGGTCTAGAACCGCCACTGGCAATTTTCAGCCGAGAACCTTATATAGTATGGTAAAAGTGCTTGCCATACACACTCACAGACGGATTGAGAGAGAGACAGAGAGAGAGAGGGGACGGGAAGCGAGGGTCGCGCGCAGGGCTCCGAAAGAAGGAAAAAAACAGTAATCGGGAGCGGAGCTCCTTGAGGTTTTAACAGCGCACCCGAGTACGAAGAAACACCGCATATAGGTTGCTTTAAAAAAGACTCCTTATCACAGAGTAAACGCCGCGGTGGGAAATTGAAGCCAGGATAGTATTAACCCCCCAGAGGACCAAGCGAGCCGCGACAGGCTGGAAGCGGAGCACCAATCCCGGATGGCTAGGCGCGGCTGCCCTCGCGCTCTCCCACCCTGACCCGTCGGAGACGCTCACGGAACTGCCGCTAAGCTCCGCGTCAGAGAGCGGTTACACCGCGTTTCCTCCCCATCAAACCCCGCCTGTTTTTCCTTCAAACGGGGAATTTTAAGTCGGAACATAAACAAACATCCGCCGCGTCCATCAGAGAGGGTGTGTGGGGTGGGGTGGGGGGCTGAGGGTTTGCTATTTAATGGTGTTTTTTTGTTTTGTTTTTTTAGCGTGTCGGTGACATGGCTGTGTTGGACTGAAGGAGCAATAGCGGCATTATGGGATGTAGCAGGACTGAGCTGTGACCCCCTGCTCATTGGGAAGAAACATTCTGCGTCCAGGAGCGGGAACAGCCAGACCTAAACACACACACACACAATCAGCTATTATTTTTTTTCCACTAACACACATCGCAACCATGCCCGTCTTCAACGGCCTGCTGAAGGTTCGGGTGTGTGAAGCGGTGGACCTGAAGCCCACCCCGTGGGCATTGCGTCACGCCGTAGGGAAGAGCGGCTCCTTCCTGCTGGATCCCTACCTGGCCCTAAATCTGGACCATACCCGATTAGGCCAGACTGCCACCAGAACCAAAACCAACAGCCCGGCCTGGCACCAGGAGTTCTGCACCGAGGTTCGAGAGGGACGCAGCCTGGAGCTGTCGGTGTTCCACGATGCTCCCATTGGCTACGATGACTTCGTGGCAAACTGCACCATCCAGCTGGAGGACCTGCTGCAGAACGGTACCAGGCACTACGAAGACTGGGTATGTGCACATGCATATTGTTGCATGAGTTTGTTTGCATGAGGAGAATTACCATGTGCATGAAATGCAACCACAAACCAACCCCTAAAAAGGAACATCATGGTTTGCAACAAAGCCAAACTCCAGCAACACTAAGCAGAATTTATATGCATTGTATTTTTGATGCATAGTATCAAGATATGGAAAGTATCTTAAGGCACATGTTCTTTTTTAATAAATGTCCATGCCCTTTGGCTAGAATATACTCAAGCAGGGACTTCCCTATCAATAATAAAAAATATATACATATATATGCTTTTAATACTTTATTTTTTATAATAATCTCAAATCTGTTATTATTGTGTAACAATCCCACCTATTCTGTGAAGGCCTCAGAGGTTATTTTAAAAGCCTTTCATATCTAAGGAGGCATTTTTCCCTGAGTCCAGACCAGTAAAAGCCTTTTAGAGCCTCAAAATACTCCATGATTGTATTTAAATAAAACAAAAGCTGTTATTTTTGTGAAAAATCTGCCATAGGAAATCTGTTGCCATTTTAAACAACCAACAGTTTATTTGTATTTTTAGCTTTAAAAAAAAGGAAAAATGTAAAATAATTGACCAAGATGAGGCGTGGATTTTCTTAAGTAAAATATCTAAAGTATATTATTTGATGTTAGAAAAATTATAAAAAGATGACACATCGTTTCCAAGCTAATTAACAGTGCATTTCCAGTTCTTTTAATGTCAGTGTTGTAAGAATTCTATCCTAATATTCTTTATAAAAACCACCAAAACTTCTAAGATTGGTACCTGTTATTATGGTACAATAGTAAATTTTTTTTAAACATTTTAGCCAATAGTAAGAGCCATCATAGGGTCTGTAGACTGGAGCCCACTGTTGCAGAGAGGTTGAACAGGCGGTGTGGAGGTTTAGAGAAGGCTTAAAGTCAAACATCTGTCTCAGAACCACTTATTCCATCATCTGAAAATGGAGACATAGTCACACACCTAAGCTGCGTGAGTCTTTAGGCAAGTGTGGCTCTCGTTCAAAGATTTGAATGTGGAAACCATGAATAACCTCCCTACTACATTGTTATTCACTGCATACTGTTGGTTTTGTCACATGAACATCACGTAAACAATAAAATCCTTCATAACGTTCTTTGTTGCACACCAGATGGTGAAAATCTATTTATCTATTTGTATTTTTAAACTAAAATTCTTTATCATCACTCTCTAAAACATCTTACTTTCACTTTAAGGGAAAATAATATACCTCAGATGCAGCCTAGATGCTCAGATCAGTGTGATGTGATGTTTAGCTCCACAAGCTCATTTGGTTAAAACCAAAGTAAAGAAAATAACAACAACAACTCAGGCGCTCCCAACAATACCCCCCCTCTGTTCCCCCAGTTGGCCAACATATGAGGAACGAAAATAAATCGCACTTTACGACCACAAACGCAACATCTAACCACCAGCTTTCTGAGCTGCAGCTGAGAAAATGAGTATAATAGAGCAAAGGGTAAAATTTTAATAAGCTCTAAATGCTTAACATTCAGTACAATTAATGAATAAAGTACATGTATTCACATGTGCTCATGTGCAGCAGTGCTGATCTGAAGTTTGCATACATGCATCATCAGCTTAAATATATAAGTCTGATTTTTTTGCATGAATTTTCTCTTAAAATTGTACCTCCAGGCTCCGATATGGCAGACCTTGGTTATACGTATAGACCATAAACCTACCAAGGGATGCAGATCAGAGCCTTTCCAGTTAAGCGTAATGTTTGCACGCTTTTACCATCCCTGTTTATCTATCACTGTCCTTGAAAAGGAGATGAGGTGTTCTCCAGGAGTTAACTGGTTTAGAGCGGCAAGGTGTATGGAATGTGTCCCCGTTAAAAGACACGGAAGCAGATGTCTGGTTTGTTGTAGATTTACTGTGGTTCTACAAAGGAATACAGAATAACAATCCTTACAAACACATCATACATAATATACATAAAATATGTATATTCAAACATAAAGACTGTATTTAGCAATGAAACACATATGACTAATATATTGTGAGCATGAATACAGCACACATTGAACATGGTGAAAATTAGCTTGGTAGCTGAACATCAAGCAGCATAAAATACTAAATATTAGACATGTAATCATGAAATATGCAAGTTACAGCATACAGTAGAATGAAGCACCATTAAACTCACCTTCTGACATGTACACACAGCAAGTCCAGTTAGTAAACACATACAAATGAAGAATTTCAGGAAAAAACAGGAAATAATGAGCTTTACACTGCTGTATCAGCAGGAAAAACGTTCAGCCATCTCACTTGCAGGTGTGGTGCGTTCAATGAAGCTTCGAACACTTATGGTGCGTTCATGAGCGTCGGACATATGACATCTCACCGAAAACACAGTATAAATGAACAGTTTCCAACAGAAAAACATCTAAACAACATGGACTTTCTAACATAGCCGCCCCCGACTGTCTACGCACAGTCGAATCCAAGATAGAAAGTCCACTTAAGTAACTAAATCTTCGGCTGCCTCTTCCAGTTTAGGCAGCTGGACCAGCCGAGCTACTGGTCGGACATATGTCCGATCCTTGACCTTGATGGCAGCGGTCCGGACGCGTCCATCAGCCCCTGGGTAAGTGGTTAGTACCTTTCCGACAGGCCATAAAGCCCGTGGGAGCTGTGGATCGACAATGAGCACCACTTGATTTGGTTGGAGCTGTTTTCCATCCTTCAGCCACTTCTGCCTCTCCTGCAGGCTAGGCAGATAGTGCCTGATAAATCTGGACCAGAAGTGATCAACAAGGACCTGGCTATGCCTCCATCGACGGTTCTCCAGGGTGTTACTAGGATCGTAAACAGCTTGTGGAAGAGATGCATCATAACGTCCCATTAGCAGGATGCTAGGTGTGATGGGATCCGGATAAGCCACGTCTGACGAGACATACCCAAGGGGCTTAGCATTCAGGATGCCCTCCACTTCCACTAAAACCGTGCGGAGCACTGCTTCAGGCACTGTCTGTTCCTTAAGTACCACCTTGAGAGCGGTCTTAACGGACCTCACTTCTCTCTCCCATGTTCCACCGAAGTGAGGAGCACCTGGGGGATTAAAGCAGAATTCAATCTGCTGTGCTGCCAACTGTTCCTTCAGTTGAGGGCCCATTGCCTCGAAGGCCTCACGTAGCTCTCTGGCTCCACCAGTGAAGTTGGTCCCATTATCAGACAAGAGCTCGAAAGGTTTGCCTCTTCGAGAGATGAAACGTCGTAGAGACATCAGAAAAGCATTGGTGTCTAGGCTCTCCAGAAGGTCTAAGTGCACGCAGCGGGTTGTCATACACTTGAAGATGATGCCCCAGCGTTTCTCCGTTCGCCGTCCAAGCTTGACTGTAAACGGACCAAAACAATCAACTCCAGTTGAGTAGAATGGTGGTTTGTAGAGGCGTAGACGTGCAGGTGGTAAATCTGCCATCTTAGGAACAGAAGGGTTAGCCCGCCATGCTTGGCATTGCATGCAACGAATCTGACACTTCTTTACTGCTTCCCTTCCCCGCAGAATCCAGAACCGACGACGCAGCTCACCTAAGACCCTTTCGGGCCCAGGATGCAGGAGGGTATCATCGAAATCCTGAATGATCAGGTTGGTTAGTGGATGCTTGGGATCCAGCAAAACTGGGTGGATGGTGTCTTGTGGTAACTGCTCTGCTCTCCGTAACCTCCCTCCGACCCTGACTAGTCCTGTGTCCTTGTCGTACTCTGGAGAAAGGGAACCCAGATGACTGGAGGCTGGTAAAGGTCGGTCGGACATGAGAGCCTTGACATCCTCTGGGAATGATTCCCACTGCGCCCTTCTAAGGAGGAGGTTCTCTGCCTTGATGTAGTCAGCTGCTTTACTAGGTGGCTCAGAGTTTGGCTCAGCCGCCCCGTGAAGGGACTGTGCGGTTGTCTGCATCAGGTCCTTCCATGTTGAGAATTGGCTCACATCAGGGAGTTGCGGACAGGTGTCAAAAGTTACATGTCCACAGAAGGATGATTTCTTTAGCTCACCATCATCTGTCTCTGGATAGGATGATGGACTGGTTGGCCAGTAATCCTCTGTGTGACACAGGAACTCAGGGCCTTTATGCCAACGATGTGGTCGGGACAGCTCCTTCAGGGTCTTACCCCGGGTGATGTCATCGGCAGGGTTGCTAGCACTGTCAACATACCTCCAGTTGTTCACGTCCGTTAGGCTCTGTATCTCTGCCACTCGGGTACCCACAAAGACTTTATAGTGACAAGATTCCGACCTGATCCAGTGTAGAACTGTAGTAGAGTCGGACCAGAGTGTTATCTTCCTGATGGGTAAGGTGAGTTCAGTGCGAAGAACACTGGCTAGCTGTGCACCAGTGAGGGCAGCGTTCAGCTCTAGCCGTGGCATGGAGAGTTGCTTCTTTGGTGCCACACGTGACCTGGCCAGAACAAAGGAGACATGGATTTTATTCTGACTGTCTTCTGTTCTCAGGTAAGCGACAGACCCATAGGCTCTCTCAGAAGCATCACAGAATATGTGCAGGTCTCTGGTTGATGATGATGAGTCTGCAGAAGCTGGTGCATAACATCTAGGGATTTCCATGTGGATGAGTTCTGGAATCTCTTGTTCCCAGGCGAGCCATCTGTCACGGAGACTCTGTGGCTGAATTGGCTCATCCCAGCCGATCTGTTCTTTCCAAAGATCCTGAACCAGAATCTTGGCTCTGGTGGTAAACGGTACAATATAACCTAGGGGATCATATTGACAGGCAAGTACCTTATAGACGTTCCTTAATGTGGGCTCGGTTCTCTCCACTGTTCTATGTTTGTACTTCAGGGAGTCGCGGAGGCAATCCCAACGTAACCCTAGAGTTGGCTCCTGTAGGTCCATGCTGGATTGGGAAAGCCACAGATCACTGCTCTCAGATCTCATGTCAGATGGTAGGTGCTCAATGACCTCTGGGATGTTGCTAGCCCACTGCC